CATACCCCTCGGCGGCTCCCCTTAGGGGCGTGAAAATGAGCACCTCGCTCGAGACATCCTCCAAATCTGCTCCGAAAGCGAAAGATGCTGGGACAGAAAACAAACAAACCGTTGAGACATCCCCACAAAACGGCCGCGAACGGGACCGTGCAATACCCCTCGGCGGCCCCCCTTAGGGGCGTGAAAATGAACGCCTCGCTCGAGACATCCTCCAAAACTGCTCCGAACGCGAAAGATGTTGGGACAGAAATCAAGCAAACCGCTTGAGACATCCCCGCAAAACGGCCGCGAGCGGGACCGTGTCATACCCGTCGGCGGCCCCCCTTAGGGCGTGAAAATGAGCGCCTCGCTCGAGACATCCTCCAAATCTGTTTCGATAACGAAAGGATGCTGGGACAGAAAACAAACAAACCGCTTGAGACATCCCCACAAAACTGCCGCAAACGGGACCGTGTCACACCCCTCGGCGGCCCCCCTTAGGGGCGTGAAAATGAGCACCTCGCTCGAGACATCCTCCAAATCTGCTCCGAACGCTAAGGATGTTGGGACAGAAATCAGGCAAACCGCTTGAGACATCCCCGCAAAACGGCCGCGAGCGGGACCGTGTCATACCCGTCGGCGGCCCCCCTTAGGGGCGTGAAAATGAGCGCCTCGCTCGAGACATCCTCCAAATCTGCTTCGATAGCGAAGGATGCTGGTACAGAAAACAAGCAAACCGCTTGAGACATCCCCACAAAGCGGCCGCAAACGGGACCGTGTCACACCCCTCGGCGGCTCCCCTTAGGGGGGTGAAAATGAGCACCTCGCTCGAGACATCCTCCAAATCTGCTCTGAAAACGAATAATGTTGGGCCCGAAAACAGGCAAACCGCTTGAGACATCCCCACGAAACGGCCGCGAACGGGACCGTGTCATACCCCTCGGCGGCTCCCCATAGGGGTGCTGAAACCAGCGCCCAGCCTGAGACATCCTCGCAATATGCTGCGTGTAGACTAATTCAGACAATGAGAAGGCCTGAATATGAGTAAGTGTAAGTCTGAGTATGAATAGGTCTAAGTATGAGTAGGCCTGAGTATGAGTAATTTTGTGTGTGAGTAAGCCTGGGTATGAGTAAGTCTGAGTGTGAGTCAGTCTGTGTATGAGTAAGTCTGGGTATGAGGAGGAGAGGGGAGGAGAAGGAGAAGGAGAAGAAGAAGCAGGCATCTATTCGCATGGACCTGTCCGCCGTGAATGTCTAGGCGCAAGAGCTTTCGAATATAAACGGGCTTCAGTTGTGACGGTCTGGTCATGAATCTAACTGCGAATGAATTGGAGTGTGAATGAGCCTCACTCAGTAGTACGAGCGCGTCTCTGCGCATGAGCCTGGAGCCTCCTGAAACCTACTGGGGCTTCCTGGGGCCTCCAGGAGCCTCTTGGGGCCTCCTGGGACCTCCCAGGGAGGCTTCGTGCCCCAGGAGAGGCCCAATCTATAGCAACCGACGTAGATAAAACATTGCAGATTGGAGCCACAGGAGAAGGGCAATACATAAGAACGCACGTACAGCACCAAGGACTCGTGCCCCAGGAGAGGCCCAACATACAGGAACATAAGTCAAACAGTTAGGATTGTGTTCACAGGAGGAGGACAATCTATAGAAACATACGTATGACATCAAGGATTCGTGCTCCAAGTGAGGCCCAATCTATAGGAGCACACTCCTGTTGCCTTCTGAGGCCTCCTGCTCCTGGGGCCTCTCGGTGCCTCCTGTTGCCTTCCGAAGTATTCTAGCGTTTCCTGTGGCCTCCTGGGGCCTCTTGTGGCTTCCTGAAGCCTCCTGGAGCTTCCTGGGGCCCCCTGGCGCATCTTGGGACATCTTGTGGTCTCTTGAATCTTTCTGTGGCCTCATGATGCCTGCTGGGGCCTCATGTGGTCCCCAGGGGCCTCCCGGAGCCTGTTGGAGCATCCTGTGGCACCCTGAAGAGAATATGAGCCCACGAGTCTGGCCACCAAAACAGGCAAACCGAACGAGACATCCTCAAAATCTGGCCCACTTGGGGGGTGAAAATGAGCGCCTCGCTCGAGACATCCTCCAAATCTGCTCCGAACGCGAAGGGTAATGGGCCAGAAAACAGGCAAACCGCTTGAGACATCCCCACAAAACGGTCGCGAACGGGACCGTGTCATACCACTCGGCGGCTCCCCTTAGGGGCATGAAAATGAACGCCTCGCTCGAAACATCCTCCAAATCTGCTCCGAACGCGAAAGATGCTGAGCCAGAAAAATTAACCTGGCGAAAGACCCAACGATATGCAGCTGTGAGTAATGCTGGTGTGAGTACCGTCTTCGGTGGATCTCCCTATGGGGCCACGAACCGTTTGAGGGGTGTGCCGAAATGGGTGTGGGGGCGGCATGCGAACGTTGCCACTGGGGCCTTCGGTGGAGCTCCTTATGGGGCCACGAAACGTGTGAGGGGTGCACCGAAGTTGGTGTGGGGGCGGCATGCGAACGCAGCCACTGGGGCCTTCGGTGGAGCTCCCTGTGGGGCCACGAAACGTGTGAGGGGTGTGCCGAAATTGGTGTGGGGGCGGCATGCGAACGCAGCCACTGGGGCCTTCGGTGGAGCTCCCTATGGTGCCACGAAACGTGTGAGGGGTGTGCCGAAATGGGTGTGGGGGCGCATGCGAACCCAGTCACTGGGCCTTCAGTGGAAACCCCATGGGGCCACGAAACGTGCGAGGGATGTGCCGAAATGGGTGTTGGGGAGGCATACGAACCAGGCCACTGGGGCCTTCGGTGGAGCTCCCTATGGGGCCACGAAACGTGTGAGGGGTGTGCCGAAATGGGTGGGGGGGAGGCATGCGAACCTTGCCACTGGGGCCTTCGGTGGAGCTCCCTATGGGGCCACGAAACGTGTGAGGGTGTGCCGAAATGGGTGGTGGGGAGGCATGCGAACCCTGCCACTGGGGCCTTCGGTGGAGCTCCCTATGGGGCCACGAAACGTGTGAGGGGTGTGCCGAAATGGGTGGTGGGGAGGCATGCGAACCCTGCCACTGGGGCCTTCGGTGGAGCTCCCTATGGGGCCACGAAACGTGTGAGGGGTGTGCCGAAATGGGTGGTGGGGAGGCATGCGAACCCTGCCACTGGGGCCTTCGGTGGAGCTCCCTATGGGGCCACGAAACGTGTGAGGGGTGTGCCGAAATGGGTGGTGGGGAGGCATGCGAACGCAGCCACTGGGGCCTTCGGTGGAGCTCCCTATGGGGCCACGAAACGTGTGAGGGGTGTGCCGAAATGGGTGGTGGGGAGGCATGCGAACCCTGCCACTGGGGCCTTCGGTGGAGCTCCCTATGGGGCCACGAAACGTGTGAGGGGTGTGCCGAAATGGGTGGTGGGGAGGCATGCGAACGCCTGCCACTGGGGCCTTCGGTGGAGCTCCCTATGGGGCCACGAAACGTGTGAGGGGTGTGCCGAAATGGGTGGTGGGGAGGCATGCGAACCCTGCCACTGGGGCCTTCGGTGGAGCTCCCTATGGGGCCACGTGTGAAAAATGTGGGGGGTGTGGGTGTGAGGGGTGGAATGCGAATGGGGTGCCACTGGGGGGGCCTTCGGTGGAGCTCCCTATGGGGCCACGAAACGTGTGAGGGGTGTGCCGAAATGGGTGTGGGGGGCATGCGAACCCTGCCACTGGGGCCCTTCGGTGGAGCTCCCTATGGGGCCACGAAACGTGTGAGGGGTGTGCCGAAATGGGTGGTGGGGAGGCATGCGAACCCTGCCACTGGGGCCTTCGGTGGAGCTCCCTATGGGGCCACGAAACGTGTGAGGGGTGTGCCGAAATGGGTGGTGGGGAGGCATGCGGACCCTGCCACTGGGGCCTTCGGTGGAGCTCCCTATGGGGCCACGAAACGTGTGAGGGGTGTGCCGAAATCGGTGGTGGTGGTGATGATGATGATGATGATGATGATGATGATGATGATGATGATGATGATGATGATGATGATGATGATGATGCTGATGGGAGGAGGAGGGAGGGGGGGGGAGGAGGAGGAGGTGAGGAACGCGGGGCGCCGTCTCTTCAAAACGAGGACCCAACACCACAGGATGGTTGGGAACAAACAAACCGTTGAGACATCCCCACAAAACGGCCGCGAACCGGACCGTGTCATACCCCTCGGCGGCTCTCTTTAGAGGCGTGAAAATGAGCGCCTCGCTCGGGACATCCTCCAAATCTGCTCCGAACGCGAAGGATGTTGGGCCAGAAAACAGGCTAACCGCTTGAGACATCCCCACAAAACGGCCGCGAACGGGACCGTGTCATACCCCTCGGCGGCTCCGCTCAGGGGGGTGAAAATGAGCACCTCGCTCGAGACGTCCTCCAAATCTGCTCCGAAAGCGAAGGATGTTGGGCCAGAAAACAATCAAACCGCTTGAGATATCCCCACAAAACGGCCGCGAACGGGACCGTGTCATACCCCTCAGCGGCTCCCCTGAGGGGTGCTGAAACCAGCGCCCAGCCTGAGACATCCTCACAATCTGCTGTGTGTAGAATAAGTCAGACAATGAGAAGGCCTGAGTATGAGTAAGTCTGGGTATGAGTGAGTCCCAGCATGAGTAAGTCTGAGTATGAGTAGGTCTGAGTATGAGTAATATTGTGTGTGAGTAAGTCTGGGTATGAGTAAGTCTGAGTGTGAGTCAGTCTGTGTATGAGTAGGTCTGGGTATGAGGAGGAGAGGGGAGGAGAAGGAGAAGGAGAAGAAGGACTAGGAGGCGTCAGAGTAATAACAAGAACCCCATCTTAGGATATGGGGAATAGCAAGAACCCCATCTTAGGATATGGGGAAAGAAAACCTAGGTGTTGACTAGCGTTGGGTGTCGCAGTCCTCTCTGAGACCTCGTAGATCGTCTCTTCAGGCATTTCGTGGTCCCTCGGGGCGGTCCTGGAATCCTCGTGGGGCATCGTGGCTCATCTTGGGCCGCCCTAAAGACTGGGCACTGGGTGGTGGCTGCTTACGTGGCGGTCGCGCCATCTAGCCAAATGTGCTGGTGGAACACCGCGATGGACACGACTGCTGCCAACTCGATTGACATCGGCATCGCTCAGGACACATGAAAGCAATGGACTGGTGGTACAGAGTGCTGCACAAGTTCAAAGACAAAATGTCCTGGAAAACCGCATCAGTCCATAAAGCGCAACCGACCAGCTCAACGCCGTCACTCGTGTACATGGGCAATCCTGGGGCAAGCTCGTAAATACCGCGACTCATCCTCTGAAATGTGAGACCAGAAGAAACGCTATGTTGCACGTACGCTACGGTTTGAGGGTATGTTCTGTCTGTTGCGTTCTCGTAGGCTGAGATCACGGCAGATATCATATTGCTGGTGCTTGCACTCGTGAGCCTTTCATAAAACCCTGTGCGCTGCGTCACATAATCTGACAAACCAGAGACATACTCCACCATCGCTTGAGTCCTCCACGGCTCATTGCCATCGTCAGTGCAACTAGCATCACTCAAAACGTCTCTGAACGCTCTGTCCACTCTATTATCAGACTTGCACTCTTCAGGGCAGCCCCAATGTGGATGAGAGAAGAATAGCCACGTTTTGGAACAACCAGAAGTCACTGGGCAAAGTGCCCTGTAGTGACTCATATTGTACCATTGCGAAATGCCTACGAATTCTCCTCCAGCGCAGCTATCCACAACTCCATCCGTCGCATACCTCAGTAACGCCTGGATCACAAAAGGAGCTTGGTGTGATTCCTCCGGGCTGAAATCTTCACAACGGCCCAAGAAGGAAAGATCCTGGATGTTCGATGTTGACACTGTCTTGATGAACTCAAAGCCAGTCGAGGAAATCTCTGCCTCGCCCATCGTCTGGGCGGTGCGGTCGCTGTTGTATATAATACCCGCGGGCGTGTTCTGTGGCCAGAAATCTGCAAGCAAGTCATTGCCAACATCGCTGCCTTGCAAGACGTCGTGGAGCCCTGTGAACTGCAAGATTGTATTCTGAACGATAAGCTCCCCTTCCCGATCCTCGGAAACGGAGTAAGTTTTTGTGGCATGCACGGTACCAGTGTCGGGGGCAACAGCGTACACGAAATCGGTGTTACCTTCGCACAAAATTTGCACCGCGATCTCCATTCTTTGAACTCTGGGGTGAAGGATGTTTACAATCGTCAACCCTGTACACAGGAAGGCGATCGCAACCCAGAGCAGACGGAGAGGCAGCCGATGCATCACGTCCAGCGCTCGTGTGAGAACGACCGAATTGAGATCGTTGCTCGTGTATTCTTTCAGCTCGAACGACGTCAACTTGCTCTGTACCTGCTGCACCCGGCCAGGAACGAATATGGGGTAGATCATCTCGTCGATGTTCAGGATGAAGCCAAGTGCCAGGCTGTCGATGAGGATCTGCTCCAGACTTACCGTGGAGGTCAAGAACGACATGCCCGTCATCAGCAGAAAGACGGTGATCCCAGCACGTGGAAGTATAACAAAAACGTACAGGGAATACAATCGAGCTGACGATATGGACCTGAATGTGAATTCGCACACCCCTCCAGGAGGTCTCCGTAGGAAAAGCGCCCTGGGACCCTGGGGGCGAAAGCGGCGGAGGCTCGGCCTCCTCGGCACAGCGCAGGGCCTCTCCTCCCGTCCTCTCCGGGGACGCCTCCAAGGCCTCCTCCGAGGCCACTGGGGTCAGGTCGGGCATGTCCTCCTACAGGCGGATGTTGGACGAAGAATGATAAGAATAATGATGACAAAAAAACGGAGAAAAACCACAATCATAAAATTCTTAGGGCTTTACGGCTATGGGGCTATAAGGCTATAGGGCTAGAAGGCCATGGGGCTATAGGTCTACAGGGCTGCATGGCCATAGGGCTATAGGGCTATAGGGCTATAGGGCTATTGGGTTATGGGGCTGTAGGGCTATAGGGCTATAGGGTTATAGGGCTATAGGGCTATAAGGCTAGAAGGCTATAAGGCTATATGGCTATTAGGGCTATAGGGCTCCAGGGCTATAGGGCTATACAGACTACCGGGCACCTGGGCACCCGGGCACCTGGGCACCCAGGCACCCGGGCATACGGGCACCTGTGCTCCCGGGCACCCGGGCACCCGGGCACCCAGGCATCCAGGCACCTGGGCACCCGGGCACCCCCAGGCACCCCCGGACACCCCCGGGCACCCGGCCACCGGCCACCAAATCGGCGCCGCACCTCACCCAACCATATGAATCCGCTAGGACCCCTACTACAAAGGCAAGCTCTGTTTGGGGAATAAAAATAATAATGTTAACAACGATAATAAATAATAGTGATAATAATATGAATAATAATAATAATAATAATAATAATTATAACAATAATAATAATATAATAATAATAATCATAATACTAATAAATATTAAACAATAATTATAATAATAATACTAATAATATTATTAATAATGATAATAATGGTAATCATAAGAATAATAAAAATAATCATAATAATAAAATTAAATAAATAAATAAATAAATAAATAAATAAATAATAATATTATTAATAATAGTAATAATGATCATAATGCTAATGACAATGATGATAATAACAAAAAATGAAAATAATGATAATAATGATAATAATGATAATAATGATAATAATGATGATAACAATAATAATAACAAGAAGTAGTAGAAATAGCAATAATACGAATAGCTGTAATAATAATAATACTAATAATTATAATTATAATAATAATAATACAGGAGAAAAACCTAATCATAATCTTTGTAGGGCTTTACGGCTATGGGGCTATAAGGCTATAGGGCTAGAAGGCTATGGGGTTATAGGTCTACAGGCCTACAGGGCCATAGGGCTATGAGGCTATTGGGCTATAGGGTTATGGGGCTGTAGGGCTATAGGGCTATAGGGTTATAGGGCTACAGGGCTATAAGGCGATAAGGCCAGAAGGCTATAGGGCTATTAGGGCTATAGGGCTCCAGGGCTATAGGGCTATACAGAGCTACTGGGCACCTGGGCACCCGGGCACCCAGGCACCCAGGCACCTGGGCACCCGGGCACCCCCAGGCACCCCCGGGCACCCCCGGGCACCCGGCCACCGGCCACCAAATCGGCGCCGCACCTCACCCAACCATATGAATCCGCTAGGACCCCTACTACAAAGGCAAGCTCTGTTTGGGGAATAAAAATAATCATAATAATAGCGATAATAATACTAATAATATGGAATGATACTAATAAAAATAAATATAACATGAATAAGAATGATACTCATAAGGATCATCATCATAATAAGCATAATAATCGTACGAATAATGACAATAATACTCATGTTAGTAAGAATAATGATACACATCATAATAATAATAAAAACAACAATAATAATAATACTAATAATAATAATGATAAAGTAGTACTACTATTTCTTTAAGAAAAAATCCTCCAAAAATCGTCCCCAGACTATTCTTCCCTACGTTTGACTAATAACTCCTCCCCTAGAGGGGCGCGCCCGACGTTGACACAGGAGGGTTTCTCGGAAGGCGGGCGGGGCTCCAAACGGAGCCCCGCCGCCTCGCGCGAGGGCGCGCGCCCTCTGCTCCCCATCCCCCCCCCCCGGGGGCGCACCGCTGACGCCAGGCGCGCTGGACTTTCCCCCTGGCCTCCTCCTCCTCCTCCTCCTCCTCCTCCTCTTCTTCTTCTTCTTCTTCTTATTCTTCTTCTTCTTATTATTATTATTATTATTATTCTTCTTCTTCTTCTTCTTATTCTTCTTCTTTTTCTTCTTCTTCTTCTTATTCTTCTTATTATTCTTCTTATTATTCTTCTTCTTATTATTCTTCTTCTTCTTCTTCTTTTTCTTCTTCTTCTTCTTTTTCTTCTTCTTCTTCTTCTTCTTCTTATTCTTCGTCTTCTTCTTCTTCTTCTTATTCTTCTTCTTCTTCTGCTTCTTCTTCTTTTTCTTCTTTTTCTTCTTCTTATTCTTCTTCTTATTATTCTTCTTATTCTTCTTCTTATTCTTATTCTTCTTCTTATTATTCGTCTTCTTCTTTTTCTTCTTCTTCTTTTTCTTATTCTTATTATTCTTCTTATTCTTCTTATTATTCTTCTTATTCTTCTTCTTATTCTTCTTCTTATTATTATTCTTCTTCTTATTCTTCTTCTTCTTCTTCTTATTCTTTTTTTTCTTTTTCTTCGTATTATTATTCTTCTTATTATTATTTTTATTCTTCTTCTTATTCTTTTTCTTCTTATTATTATTCTTATTATTCTTCTTCTTCTTCTTCTTCTTCTTCGTCTTCTTCTTCTTATTATTCTTCGTCTTCTTATTATTCTTCTTCTTCTTCTTCTTCTTCTTCTTCTTCTTATTATTCTTCTTCTTCTTATTATTATTATTCTTCTTCTTCTTCTCATTCTTCTTATTCTTCTTTTTCTTCTTCTTCTTCTTCTTCTTCTTCTTTTTCCTCTTCTTTTTCCTCCTCCTCCTCCTCCTCCTCCTCCTCCTCCTCCTCCTCCTCCTCCTCCTCCTCCTCCTCCTCCTCCTCCTCCTCCTCCTCCTCCTCCTCCTGCCTCCTCCTCCTTCCTCCTCCTTCTCCTCCTCCTCCTCCCTCCTCCTCCTCCTCCTCCTCCTCCTCCTCCTCCTCCTCCTCCTCCCCTCCTCCTCCTCCTCCTCCTCCTCCTCCTCCTCCTCCTCCTCCTCCTCCTCCTCCTCCTCCTCCTCCTCCTCCCTCCTCCTCCTCCCTCCTCCTCCTCCTCCTCCTCCTCCTCCTCCTCCTCTCCTCCTCCTCCTCCTCCTCCTCCTCCTCCTCCTGAATCCTCGGCCCCAGCACCACGCCCGTTTTAGGCATGGTGAACACTGGGGCCAGGCGCATCGGCCGGGACGGTCCAGTGCAACAGGACAGGGGGGGGTCCATCAGGAGGTTGTTTAAGGCCAAAGACCACCCGGGTGCCCGCGACAGGGCCCCCCCACAAAAAAAAACATACAACAACAACGACAAGGAGGAGGAGGGGAGGGAGGAGGAAGCAGGAAGGAACCAGAAGGCGGAGGAGACGGGCGCGGGGCGGAGGGGCGAGAGCCACCCGACACCCCCCTTAGGCGCGCTCACGAGCCCGCCTGAGGCAAGGAGCGGGGAAGCAAGAGAGGAGGGGGGAACTGAACCGCAAAAGCAAAAACATGGGTACGCCGTGAACGAAATAAGTTTTGCTTACTGGACCAGCCTCCACAGCGTCAGCAGCCTGAGCGGAGGAGGAGGAGGAGGAGGAAGAGGACAGAGGGTTGAGCAAAAAGGGCGTGATAATCTGCCCGGCCAAGCGCTAGCCCATGCTACCCCATGGGCGCGCGGCCCCGGCGCTGGCGGCCAGCAGGGAGGCGGCAACACCTCGCTGCAACGCCACTGCCAAACGGCAACGCAATTCGGCGAGTTGCTCGGCCCGCCGCGGGCCCTCCGGCAAGACCGAGCGGGCCCACAAACGGAATTGCTTGCCCCACCGCCCGCCTGCCTCAAGAACGGCTGGGAGCAGCTCCTCACCGGGATAACGCGAATGTTTTGTGCGTTCCCGGTCAGCTGATGCCAAGCCCGGGCGTCGGGCGCGGGCCCGCGCGGCGCTGGCGTCGGACGAAGTCGCCTCCACGATCGACACGTCGATGCACAGGGGGCCAGGTCCTGCTGGGTCTCTGGGCACGACGACGTCGAGCACCGCCCGAGCCAGGCCATCTGCGCCCGGACGATCCCAGCGGGGCACCCGCTGCTCTGTGAGCGTTTCCGAATCCACGCGCTCGCGGCGCCATTCGGTGAGTTCGTCCCGGCAGTAGTTGTGCCGCCTCGAAAAGCCAGGGCCCGTCTCACAGCACACGGCATGGCTGCCCCACCTGCGCCGCGCGGTGCATCCACACGCTCGGCGAGCTCCGCGGGCCCGGAGCATACATGGCAGCGCACCTTGCGCGGCCCTATCCTCGAAAAGGAGGCGCCGCCGCAAGCAGACACAGAACGCGTCGTCTGACAGCACGTCGCGGTAACGATGCGCCGCCTGGAGCCACGCCCCGCCCTCTGCTGCCTGCGAGTGGAGGAGCGCAGCAGCGTCATCTTCCAACCCAGCTCTGAGCTCACGGTCCCGCCTGGCTACCAGAGACTTGGAAATGGCTTTCTGGGCCCCCACGTCCACCGACCCGCCCGCCGATTGCACGCGCTCCGTGGCCGCGCACACGGCTCGATGCAGAAGCGGGGCAGATCGCTCGGACTGCGCCGCCGTCTCTACGCGCTGCAAGCGGAATACAGCGGCCTCAACCTGCGCCCAAGAGCCGAGAAAGGCAGCGTCCGCATGAGCCCCATCGCTCGATAGGCCACCACCCCCGAGCTTGGCGGGCCCGAAGAGTACCTTGCGCGAGACGTCTGACAGCGGCCCCCCGAGCCAGCGTTCCACCACCGCGGCGGCCTGATCGTCGCATCGCCGCCACTGCTGGGGGTCGCATGCCTGGGCTCGCTGGGCGTAGGTGACTGCGCCTTTCACGAAGTCCGCGAACATCACCCACGCGTCGTGCTGTACCAAGCCGCGGCGAATGAGGGTGCACAAACGAGCGGCGAAGGCAGCGAGCCGATTCCCGGCGGGGCCCACCTGGGCAACGCCATGTACTCCAGCAAGTACGTCTCGCCAGTCGTCGTCCTCTACCTGGAAACGCCGGCTCCGCACATAAAGTATGGAGTTCCCAAGGCATGGCAGTTCCAGAACGACGCGCGGCTGTAGGACTGCGGGCGCGTCGGCCGGCGCGCCCGACGGGAACCACAGCTTCGTCTTGGCCTCGTTGGGCTCGAAACCAATGCTGCCGACAGCCTGGGTGGCCAGCTGCATCGCGTGATCCAGGCTCTCACGAGGGACCCAGAAATACATATCGTCGCGGTGGGCCACGGCCTCCGCCTTGGCGTGCAACGTCTGCAGCCCCTGGCGCAAGTTGCTCAGCGGATCTGCCAGAAAGATGGCGAAAAATGCTGGCGAGAGAGGGCAGCCTTCGTCGAGACCCAAGACTTGCCGCACGACTTCGCTCGGCCCCCCGTTGCCTCGGAGGACGCGCTGCCCAGGGCGGTCATACATCGCGCGGGCAAGGAGCTCCAAGTCTGGACACCGCCGGCGCAAGGCAGAGCTTCCGGCGCCGGCACCGTCGAAAAGACGACTTCACATCGATGGAGACAAAGACGAAATCGGGCAATTCCTCTGCCGCGGCAGTTACCACTTTCTGCAGCGCCTCGGCACCGACCGACACGCCCACGCCGAACTGTGTAGGCCCGACTGCTTGGCGAATCTCGTCGGCCCGGGCCGCGCACGCCGCATTCGCGAGCAGTCGCCGCGGGACACCACCGCTGGCCACAAAGCGGGCGCCATCGTTGACCTTGGATATGCCCGAAAGTTTGGCAGCGAACAGCAGATCACAACCTCGGCAGGAACGCTCCCAGAGGCGACCTGAGACAGAATGCGGGCGGCGGCGGGGCCGCTGTCTGCACTCCGCCCCATCGAGATCCAGTGCTCGCACCTGTCTCCCGCGGGGCCAGGGCCGCTTCCACGCGAAACGCGAGCCCAGGACGCTTGGAGGGTCTGCTCCATGTCGACTGCTAAGACCCTGGCTGCGGCCACGTTTTCCCCAGGGACGGTCCACGGCCTCGTCCCGGCCGTCTGCGGCGAACGCCCCAGAAGGTAGCCCCTGCTGCTCGTGGAAAGCGGAGCGCGTGGTGGCCACGTCGCGCGCCGCAGCCGCCCCCCACGCTGCCTGGCATGCTTGGCCCACCTTCCCGTCGCGCACGAGCTTGCGAACACGACGGACAGTGCGAGCGGTCTGGCCAGAGCTGCTGCGGGTCTTTCGGTGCACAGCGGATAGCCGACGCAGCACGTCCCACTCGCCCGCCCAGAGAAGGGCGAGCCGCCCGCTCACACGCTCCACAGCTGGCTTAGTCTGCTCGGCGTCGGCGCCCGAATACAACTCGGCGAAAAGGAGACGGTCAAGGAGCAAGAACAGACGCCATCCAGCTAAGCGCTGCTGGTCCTCTCGGGCCTGCAGGATCCAGGAGGCAACTGTTTCCTTGGCCTCCCCCACGGCAAACTGAAGAGCTCCTGGGACCTCCGTCAACGTCATGCCCTGGTTGAGGAGGGCCCCGTCGATCCATCCACGTGCAAATGGCGAAGACCACCACTCCATGTTGCGGAGCCCTGAAGCCGGAAGGTCTTGAAGACGGACTTGGTCCTGGGCCGCATCCGCCGTTGCCGCCTCCCTGTTGCCTTCCTGCTGCTCCGCTGCATGTGGTGTATTGCCGGTAGGGCTTGCGGGCCGGACAGCCAGCCATGGTGCTAGGGAAGCTTGCTGCGCCAGCGTGAGGTCAGCCCAGCCAGCGACCGCGGCAGCAGGCCCGAGTACCTCGCCGACGCAGGCCGCGTGGACATATTCAGGATGGGCGAGGTTCCTGCTCTTTGAGATTCGCACTTCCCCGACGCGGAAGCTCTCGTGACACACCTGGCACTTGCCCCCCAGCCTCCCCCGGGCATCTTGCACTGTGCAGCGCCAGCCTGGGTCTGGCTGAGATGCCCTGCGGCGCCAGCTCCTCTCCCGCGCCGGGCCGGCGTCGACCTCCGTGTCCTGCCGAGGGGGTCCTGGATGAGAAGCCTCACCGACGCGGATGCCTCGCAGCCCGTGTCACGCAGAAATCCGGCCGCACCGCCCCTGGCACCCTGCAAGCCGGGCCACAGCAGCAGACGGTGAGATGGACAGCGCCTTGGCTACCCCACTCACCCTCGCGCTTGCCAGCGCGGCGAGGGCTGTGCTGGTAAGGCCCACTGCCGCGGCTCCTGCGACTGCGGCGGCCGCCAAGCAAACGCCGAGGGAGAGAGCGGCCCGCGCACGAGCTCGATGCCGATCCTCACGGACAGTGCCCATCAGCCTGGTGAAGGTCCTCATGAGCAGAAGCCCAAGCGCATGCAACAATTTCAGCCCGAACAACGTGCCAACCGCGATCGACCAGCATGCAGCGGCGGACATGAATGTGACTGTACCCCCAAGGCGCCCCTGTGCTCCCGAGTCTTCCACGAACACCTCCGCGAGGAAGGCAAAGATGACGAGGAAGAACGCTCTTCCACGCCAGAGTGCGTGCCAGAAGAGAGGCAGGGCCTTTGGCGCCACCTGCAGCGTGCCGTGCCACCCCGCTCCAGACGCTCGCAACCTGGTCCGGGCCGCCTCTGCGAGGGCGCACTTTGGCGGGGGCGGCGCGTCCCAGGAAGCAGTGGTGGCCACGCAGCGGACAGGCGAACAAAGGACGAGCTCGGTGGTCCCCGAAACAACCGCATCGAATGGAACGTGCTCGGAAGAGACAGCCGCTGACTGACATCGCACTGCAAACGAGAATACAAAGAAAATTACGACATGGGATCGCAAAGATAATGATATAGTCGTCATGGGCAGGAGGTACGGTATGCGGCTGCCGACGTCGACGGGGCGACGATGACAGACACGGGGAGCGCTCTCCTCCTCCTCCTCCTCCTCCTCCTCCTCCTCCTCCTCCTCCTCCTCCCTCCCTCCCTCCCTCCTCCCTCCCTCCCTCCTTCCTCCCTCCTCCTCCTCCTCCTCCTCCTCCTCCTCCTCCTCCTCCTCCTCCTCACTCCTCCTCCTCCTCACCTCCTTTTCCTGGACTGACTTGCTTTTAAGGACGAGCAATAAGTTGCCGCCCTGTCAGACAGAGGGGGACGAAGAGCCCCAAAGACTTAAGCATGACCACGCGCGACCCGGGCCCCACGGACTCCCAGGCTTTCCCTGGGCCCCAGGTGCTGCAGGACGGATAGAGTGCCTCCAGAGCAGCCCTCGGCGGATTCCGGGTGCCTCGAGACGGCCCCAAGACGGCCCGAGGTGGCTCTAAGACCGCCCCAAGGCAGCCCAAGAGAGCCCCAAGAGGGGTCCAAGAGGCTCTTCGCGAGGATCAACTGAAGCAAGGAGCTTACATCTCCCCCTCACGTCTGTCGACGATTCTGGCGCTCTCGGGTTCTCGGCCCAAGATGGCCCAAGAGGTCCCCAGGAGCGCTCCTGCACGGCCCAGGAGGTCCTCAAGATGGCTGCAGAAGTCCCCCAAGAAAGACGCAAGAGAGACCTGGTACGTCAGATTCGTGTCGTGCCGACTTCGGCGTCGGTTTCTGACACCGCGGGGATCCTTCAACCTTGAACGATCGGCCGTTTCCGAAACGTCCCAATCGTTCCACATCGAACGATTCTGGGTCGCCCGCGGCGTTTGAAGTTGAACGCCGCTGGCGGGGTCGCCGCCTGTCGACAAGACACGAACCCACCGTGCGGCCATACAGCGGGGGCCCAAGGCGGCCCACGCGGGTGCCCCAGGGCGGCCCACCGAGGCCGCGCGAGAGGCCACGAGCGCCCTGAGGCGGCCCAGGAGGTGGCCCAGGAGGCCGCAAGAGGCGGCCCGAAACACCTGAAGGGGCCCTGGGGCACACAAACAAATACACACAAATGTCCCACATTGTTCTGGGTTTCTGTCTTCCCCCCCACTGCCATAGTTTCCCATACCTAGTGGGGAATCGACGATTCGTTGTGTCTGTGCTTGTTTTTCTCCTCCTGAACACCTCCTGGAGGCCCTCAGAGGCCACAGACTGAAGTCGGGCATGTCCCTCTACAGGGGGAGTATTCAAAAATTGTCCAAAAATAGTCCAGAGACGATTTCTCGACTTGTGTTTTACAATGTTTACAACTTTTCGTCGACGACCCGCCTGTAGGGGGACATGCCCGACCTAACCGTAGACTGCCCAGGAGGCTTCTCTCCCCAACTCTGGGCGGCCCCAAGACGCCCCCAAGGGGCCACCAGAGAGGACACAAAAGGCTCCCCAGAGGCTTCCAACAACTCCCAAGACGCAACCCCGATGCATCCAAAAGGCCCCCAAGAAACGCCGCATCAGACACCGAGAGACATCCATTAAGCAAATGTGATCACAACGCCTAGACTGCACGCGCTCCAAACGTGCACCCCGCGGAGCGAGACGAATGATTGGTCGTTCTCCGCGACAAGCTGCGTCGAGTCACCTCGTGGGCGAAAAACATATCTGTATCCGCGGCCCCGAGGGCACAGGGCATTTGTTTGCGCCGACGCCCCGCGAGGAACGTGTCCGTGCGACCGGGGTCTCCGCGGGATCGCACCCTGGAATCCAGATCAAGAGGGCGCAGATACTGATATGTTCGCCGCTGATGATCACCACGAGGTAAAGAGCGGAGTGCATGTACAAACCTGCAGGTGCAATCCACCTCCGTCAGGATCAGGCAAACCCATAAGAAAATGACGATGGAGCAGAGCAGCTGTCCGCCTTTGAGGCCGAAGGGATCCCAGACCCTCAGATAGGAGCTGAAATTGCTCCAGAACTCGATTTGGTGAGTGGCTATGTTCGGGGAACACACAATGACAGAAACGCAAGGTTACGGAGGGCCAGGCGGTTTTCTCGGATCCGCGCGGGGCCACCCTGGAGGCGCCTCCGCGCCAGGGGGGGAAGAGTCCGCTGCGGATCCCAGAAATCAGCGCGGACCTACGACCAAGTTGATGTTTATGTCCTCGTGCATTCCGCGAGATGTGCAAAGCGTCGTTCTTGGCCTCACGACAGACCTCAGCAATCATAGACGTCCTGCTGTCACCGACAGACGAGGACACGTGGTGTCCAGAGGTCAGGCGGAACTGCAGCAAATCTTGAAGTCGTTCAGGTGCCGCAGGGTCTTTGCACATGAACTCCCAGACAACAGACGTAAGCACCAGCTGAAGGATCATGTTTTTCATCAGGAGGCACACGAGGGTGAACGTGTCAGACAAGTGATGGAAACCGTCGAGACCTATAAAAATAGACGCGTCCCAGATGGACTCGGCGAGAACATATTCCGGCGAGACAGCGAACAGCATTTGGGACTCGCCTGGGACCTGCCCGTTCGAGTTCACTGGCGCCGGTGCGACATTGTAGCAGGTGGGGGTGCTCGACGTCGGGTCGGGATGGCTCCCGCACGGCGCCGCTGACGCCGAGTACTCGCGCAGCTTCTCCGCTCTGCGGGCCTCGGTGCCCAACGCCTCCGCGCAGGTGGCGGGACCCGGCCTGCCGAGCTCGCCTTCCAGCGCCTCCACGCGGCGGGCCAGCAGGTCCACGCGCGCCCCGAGGTCCTCGCGGCAGGGGCGCGGGTCCAGGCGGGGCAGGCCCAGGCCGAGGGGCAGCCGCTGGTTTCGCCCGGGGCTGGTTTCGCCCGGCTGGTTTCGCCCAGCTGGTTTCGCCCAGGCTGGTTTCGCCCGACGCTGGTTTCACCCGGGCTGGTTTCGCCCGGCTGCTTTCGCCCGGCTGCTTTCGCCCAGCTGCTGGAGGAGGTGCAGGAGGAGGAGGAGGAGGAGGAGGAGGAGGAGGAGGAGGAGGAGGAGGAGGAGGAGGAGGAGGGAGGAGGAGGAGGAGGAGGAGGAGGAGGAGGAGGAGGATGACGAGGAATGTGGGGAGGAAGAGGAGGAGGAGGGAGGAGGAGGAGGAGGAGGAGGAGGGGAGGAGGAGTAGGGGAGGAGGGAGGAGGAGGAGGTGGGGGGAGGAGGTGGAGGTCGGAGGGAGGAGGGAAAAGAATTAGGGCCGCCGGACCCGACCCGACCCGACCCGCCCGTTAGGGTCCGCCCGACCCGACCCGACCCGATCGTTAGGGTTCTCGCGTGCTCCCTCGATTATGCACCACATTTTAATGTCCCGCCCGCCCGACCCGACCCGCCCATTAGGGTCCGCCCGCCAGTCCCGACCCGACCCGCCCGTTAGGGTCCGCCCGACCCGACCCGACCCGACCGTTAGGGCTCTCGCGTGCCCTCTCGATTATGCACCACACTTTAATATCCCACCCGCCCGACCCGACCCGCCTGTTAGGGTCCGCCCTCCCAGTGCCCGATTCGGGCCCCCGGTGCGCTCGGACGCGGGGCGTCGTCTGAGGGGTGCGCAGCCAGAGGCCTTCTGCGAGAAAACGTGAGCAATGGGGCCTTGGGAGGACGAGGAGGAGGAGGACGAGGAGGAGGAGGCGGAGGACGACGACGAGGACGAGGGGGAGGGAAAGAACGAGGAGGAGAACGAGGAGGAGGAGGAGGAGGAGCAGGAGGAGGGGGAGGACGGCGAGGAAGGGGAGGAGGAGGAGGAGGAGGAGGAGGAGGAGGGAGGAGGAGGAGGAGGAGGAGGAGAGGAGGAGGGAGGAGGAGAGGAGGAGGAGGAAGGAGGAGGGAGGAGGAGGAGGAGGAGGAGGAGGAGGAAGAGGAGGAGGAGGAGGGGGAGGAGGATGAGGAGGAGGAGGAGGGGGACGACGACGGCGACGGCGACGACGACAACGACGGCGGCGGCAGCGGACTTGGCGAAACCAGCCCCGGCGAAACCAGCGGGGCGAAACCAGCGGGGCGAAACCAGCGCCGGCGAAACCTGCGTCGGGCGAAACCAGCGCCGGCGAAACCTGCGCCGGGCGAAACCAGCCTGGGCGAAACCAGCCCCGGCGAAACCAGCCCCGGCGAAACCAGCCCCGTGCCGGCCGAGGCCGGGCACGCTGCGCGGGCTTTCCTCCGCACGGACTTGGCTCTCGAGCGGGAGAGGCCAAGAGTCCAAACGGAGTGCCCGTCGGTCAGAAGAGGTGGGCAGAGGCCTGAAGCGGGCAAGCGTCGAGAGCAGATGGGATTCCCGCCCGCCCCCGGATGAGGAGGGAACGGGGAAAACCGCTCGACCCTTGAAGTAGGAAGGCGGCCAAAGTAGATTGGGAGTTTGGGACCCTCACACCGAAAATACGTCTCCTCAACGACCGGCGTGGAAGCCCAGACCGAAACCGAGACACTCTGTACTGACTTACTCCGCACAGAGTTAGCAACCGGTGAATCCTCGCTCAGCTCCGCCCGCACCCGTGCCTCCACGCCGCGCACGAGGTCCGCGACCTCCTGCACGCGGGCCTCGATGTTCCGCAAGTGGGCCGCAGGCACCGCCACGCCGGGCTGCGGCATTGAGGCAGGAGCCTCTCGGTCGCTTGCGCTTGAGGCCTAAAGCTCGACCCAGAGTGTTTGCGTTGGTCGGGCATGTCCTCCTACAGCCAGATCTTGGGACAAATATAAGATTAGCGGAAAATTGAAGATAACAACTGAGCACGAAAAATCGTCACATGATCATTTGTTACTATTATTGAATACTCCTCCTGTAGAGGGACATAACCAACTTAGCGTTTGCGGAGCCGTATCGAACAATGCCGATATTTTGCAAATAGACACGATAGATACGTACATGACGCATTCAATGCTGCACCTGGCCGATTTTCGCCTCCTGATCTCCATCGTGTTCATGCGCATTCTCACCCGCCACCTCCTCCCATGTACGCCATTCCCCCTCTTTGCGAATGCGGACAGCAGGAGGGGATCTTTCGGTTTCGGTGTTACAATGTTAAAAGTCGGCTATGACACGCGTCCGCGGATAGAAACTACACTAGCGCAGTGGCAAGGAATGGGAGGGAATGACAGTAGACAAGCGCGTTCCGCTACTCGCGAAATAGCTAACGGCCTGGATCCGCCGAAGGGGATCTACGGTCCACTACACCGAAGCAAACGTGCGTTTGTTTGTCATACGTTTGCGAATACGCACTTCGCCAATAGTGGAACGCGCTCGGTGAGACACGATGTCAGATACGGCGCCACCGCACCTAGTTTACCCCATCCACCTTTTCCCCCTGCCCGGCGGTCCAGAACTTCCTCTGCTGACACCGGACCTCTGAATATGACATGGCCCCGGCGATGATCACCCCTAGTCTTAAGTCGTGCACGTCCCTCTACAGGAGGAAAACTCAAGAAGAGCTCAAGGAAATATAGGGGGATTTATCGGCTATGTCTGACCATTTCTGAATTTGTTCGACTGTTTGCATTTCTCCACAAATCCACCTGTAGGAGGACATGCACGACATAACCCTTGTCCTCACACCCCCGATTCCTTTCTCGGACGCACTGGCCGCCCGTCACGGGCCTCTATCCGCTGGGGTCGTGCGATCGTGCTCGCACGTCCAAGGGCCACGCGTCGTCGTCGCCCCCCTGGCGCGCACCTCAAACATGGCGTACACTTCTCGACCTGCGCGCGTCATCCCTGCGCAGCGGCCATGCAAACTTTCTCACTATAAGTCCAATGTTTACGAGTAATCCCCAAAGGGAATCCGAGTCGTCGTCCTTCTCCTCCTCATCCCGAAGCAGGCCCGATGAAGGCCCAGGCAGTTGGCTGATTTTAACGAGCCAAGAAAGCGCCGCCGAAACTCCACTGGCGGCCGCAGCCAGCGCTCTCTGCACGCGAGCGGGCTGCACTTCTAAAGTGTTGGCTCAACGCATGCAAGTCTGCACGAACGGTGGAGCCGAACTCCTGAAGCAGGTCGTTGCCTGCTCGCCGCATACGCCACGCCAAGGCGCACGGGCATGTACGACAGCGCCACCAATCGGAAGCGTGAACGCTGTCTGGGATGCTGCTGCGCATCTCAGGCCATAGGCCATCGTAGCACTGGGTGAATTTTAAAGAAACGGACATCCTCGGTGCGCCCATTTCGACGCGCCACGCGCACGCGATCGACAACAGCCCACTGCTCCGCATCGTGGGACACGATGCCGCGCGACGACTTCAGGCGTTTATAGCGAGCAGAGAAATGCTCTGCGCTGAAGCGGGGAGGGCCCTGACTCTCGTCGCCGCACGATGCGCGGCTTTCCGGGGCCGCGGATCGGCGCGCCCCTGCGCCGTCAGTTAGAAGGGCGAAGTACCCAGGGACGAGAACCTACAAGAGGACCTCGTCGCACCCCCCCCCCGCTCAGCGACACGCCGCCCCCTCCAGCAGCACAGGCGCGCCGGGGCAGCTCCAGAGAATATCGCCAGGCAACGCTGCCCCTAGGGCACTGCGCACAGAAACCGGCGATGCAACAAACGACATCGCCCAAGGGGGGTTCACCGCACGTCTTCTCGGAGCAGTTCGACTGGCACGGCACGCGACAAGCGCGCAATGACGCCACGTCGGCCTCCACGAGGCATCCACGAAGCCATTTAAACTCATCTTGCCCAGACTGGACAACGCGAGCAGAGTGGCTCGCACAACGCAGGCAACGCGCTGAGCCGCGTTCTTGGATATCCCACCTGCCCCGCCAGTTCGTCCGACGACCTGTAAACCCGAGGCGCCCTGAGTTGCTGCGAGGGCAATGGCGCGGAGAGCGCGGGCTCTGCTCACTGAGCCCATGTTGAACAATTGCAGCGGGGGGCCCTTCGGGTCGAGGTTGGACTCGCGCTTCTGGCACCCCACATTGGAACAACGCCACATGGGCTGGTCCATCTGCGGGATGCTGAAGCCTGCCACCTGGGCATCCTGGCCCGACTGGCAGCCCCGAATCCACAACTGCATGGCGACGCATCGACACGCTGAGCACTCGCCCCACACACACACACCAGGTCTGGAAGCACACCCATCTCCATCATGATGCGCGCCAGGAGTTCGGGGCCGATGCGCGCCAGGCCGATCAGGGCCATCCCCCGGGAAACCCCGAGCTCAGCAACGCTAGGTCGATCATCCTGCTTTTGCATCGCAGCGATGCACGACGGGCCAGGCGCCCCCTTGGTCGGCTTCGCTCTGCCCTTCCTCATCATCGAGCTCTTGCTGATCTTGCCCTCCTGAGTCAGCGATACGTTGCGCGCGCCAGATAGTTCCCTGGAAATGGAAACAGAGGCATGCGAAGGCCGTTTCTTCAACGAGAAAGTCGAGCTAGCGGGCTTCCTCTTCAGAATCACCGTCTCCGGGCGGTGGGCCCGTTAGTGCATGTCCGCGATGGATGCTTGGCCGCTGCGGGGCACGTGTTCGGCGCGGGCGAAACGATGGACAAAGAATGGCTGAATTCCGAAAGGAACCAAAACTGGCTACAAACACACTTGGCGTTGCGGCATCGACAACATGTCTTTCGCAAAAGCGTTACACGCCATGGCACGCGTTGAGAGTAGTGGCCGTCCCGTCCCTCTCATGAACGGCCTCGATCATGCGTTCACGCCGCATCTGGAATACGCGCGCCCCCTGATATGCGAAGCCTACTAATACTGCAACCCAAACTGTACTCCGCGCAGCGCTGCTCCACTGTTCAGAAGAGTCGCCTTTCACTGCTTCCTCACCCGACACCACGTGCAAGCTGCCATTGACACGTCTCCTGGACGCGCGTGCCAGCGCGGCTGGTCGCATGCTGCGCGCGCGGCCTCGTCCAGGATGGTTGACCCCGACATGCCGACGACGGCAGCGACGGCGTGGCCGACGAGCCCTGCGACATCATTGCGGGCAACCACATAACTTCCAGGAAGAAGAACGTGACGACCCCAATGGGGCGCGCAGTCAATGCGATAACCCGCGTCGTGGGTCCGTCCGCGAGAGTCGCTGATCGTGAACGGCCCGTCCGCCGCGCACGCGACTTGAAACCCGAGATTGAGCGGGCTGCCGACCACGCAGCATTCCTGCCGCGGCGACGCGGAAAGCGGAGAAACGACGGCGACACGTTCAACGCACGATCACATAACTACACACGCAACGACGAAAAAAAGCGGCCAGATCGACGAGCACTAGAACAACAACCGCGGCGCGAAATGCAAAGACAATAGCTGCAAGAAAAAAGCGCTGAACTGTCCCTGATACATCTATGGCTCATTCACCTGATAGCGCCCGCGAGCCCCTTCAAGAACCCTCTGGCATGGTCGGGGAGGGCCGCGCGTTGTCGCGTCAACATGTGCCGCGCTGCCGCTGCTGGAGCTAACTGCGCCAACGGGCCGCTCGCCAAATCCTTCGCCACGCGGCGCGCAAAGCGCGCGCGGATGCCTGGGCGAGCGATCGTTCGGCCTGGCCTTGATAACAAGACTAGACAGCGGCTGCGCCAGCTACATGCACGCGAACTGCCACTGGCAAGAAGCTGCGCCCACTACGCGTGCACGGCAAGCAACGGATACCACGGCGACATGGATGTTGCGGCAGCGGCGACGGTGGTCGACGACGGATTTTCTCCGTGAGACCAGCCACGTGCACAGCCGGTTTCAACCTTCGCGCAGAAGCAAAGTCAGCGGCCCTGGCGCCCTGCACCCTGCGCTGGCCGCAAGCAATGCGATGCCGAATCAAACATTCAAGACAAGCCATTGCGAGGCGGCCCTTCCTCCGATTCCAGGCGCGCCTCCTCTGGGCTCTGCATCTCACCCGGGAAGAACGACGCCTGCGAGTCGTGCATCATGGTTCGCTGCCTCTTCGCGCCCCTGCCCCCTGCCTCGCCGATCTCTGCGTTCCACCCCGCGGCCGCGCCGACCTCGCTCCGATGCCCAAAGCCAAGCCCGGAGCTCCCCGCTGCCTCCGCCCCGCGGCAGCACCGCCCTCGTCGTGCTCGCCCAGGTCGAGCACACTGCACTGCCCTGGCTGCGGCACCTGCGAAAAACTCTGCGACGGCTTGGGCGCAGGGCCAGGATCTGGCCCATTGCCGAGCGCAAAATGGATCCAAGTGGCCTCCCACTGGACGGCGGCATCCCAGCAATCGGAAACAATAGTATTGTCGAAATTCTGCACCTGCCGTAGACGTCTTCTTACGAGTTCTTGATCCAATCCTTCCTCGTGTGCCCCACGTGGAGGCGCGGCGCGTCCACGTGATTCTATCTCGCAAACCTGGAATAGAGCAACGCCTCTGTCGGGGCGATCATACTGGCACGCTTCAGAAAGGCTACCTCGCCCGAGGTCGCGGCGCCCCTGTGGAAGGCAGGGGCCACGAGGTCGAGCAATTCCTCGTGGTCGATGTGGTCGGGCATTCCGCGCGGGGGGCGCTCTGTCGCGGGCTCAGAGCCCAGGTCGACCTTGTTGTCAACAGCCGGACAGGCAACCCGGCCACATCAGCGGGCATATGTGGCCCGACCGTCTGCGCCAACATCCAGGAAGACCTTCATGGCCTTCGGCGACACGGTGGCGCATTCCAAATCGCCCAGGGTCGCTGGC